ATTGTATAATGTATTATATTATTTCAAATTATAGTATTATATTATATTATATCATAATATTTTACTAATATTAGTAATTATTATATTATATTATAATAGTATGTCATATATATAATAACTATAATAATATTTTATAAATTAATTATATAATAATATATGTTATTAAAATATTATATAATATTATAATAAATACGTTATACTATAATTACTAATTAATATTATATAATAATATATTACATAATATTATTAATATATGTTATTAAAATATTATATATATTATTAAAATATTAATATATATTATTATATAATATTATTAATATATGTTATTAAATTATGTTATTAAAATATTAAAATATGTTATATTTTATATATCATGTCTATATTTATAACATAATTGCATGTATTAATTAAGTAATACAAAAATATTTTAAAATTATCCCAATTATCTTCAAAGTGGAACAACATTGTTCCAATATGGAGGATGGGGTAAATTTTTACTATTGAGATAAAATTTTTGTATATAAGTGGGGTAATTTTATCCCAAGTGGTGTAATTGTCTTACTAGTGTTCCAAAAAACCAATAACACAAAAAGGTATTATCCTTGTTCCATTGTCCCAATGACTAACACTATGAAATAGAATCCCTAAAATTATCCCATTATCCCCCAAAATATCCCAACCAATAACCCCCCCTTACATATGATCTTTCTCTAATTCTCAAATTAGTAGCTTAAACCTTTTGAAATTACTGTTTGGTCTCCAAATTCAATTAAGTTATTATAAATTACTGATTGACCCAACATGGTAAATTACTATATTGGCCTCAATTCGCTAATTTTCCTCCAGTATTTTATAAATTCTACTCCCTCTCCCCCCTCAAAAAAATGGACTAGGAAAGAAGATGATTGCTGGATGAGAAGAGTAGGAATTTCGATTTTTATTTTAAATTGTCAGAATATAAAACTATAACTCATCCTTCACCATAACATTAGAGTTTTGGTGTGAGGGTTAGATGCACTTCAAGGTGACATTAGAGTTGCTCAGTTCAAATATCATTTGATCACGAATTTAAAGCGGATTTTTTAATAATTTGACAAGGCTGAGCTCCGCCTGATTTGGTCTAATTGTTGCCGACTAATTTAATGGAAAAATATAAATATTTTGGAAATAATAACTTTAAAAAATCATTTGTCCGGCATAAACAATATTTATTCCTTCTTGATGTTCAAATCTCATACTAAAATTGTGACACCCTCACTTTAGTCCCACATAGACTAGTATGAAGAAATATTAGTAGTTTAAATAGAGAAAAGTCCAATGCCCAAGAACAACTAGGTCACCGGAAATCTTTGAATTCACAAACTGCTACGACACCTTCAAATTATTATTTATTTCTTCAAAAGCTTTCAAATAAGCATTATTCACAATTAATTGAGTTTGCATGAAACCAAAACCGCTAATCACATTTTATGTGAAATCTAATTTACTTTTAAATATCTTGTATGAAATCAAATCATATTATATGTTATGTCATAATAAAATAGACCAGATCACATTTAACGTTATATATATACACAAAATAATAGGTTATTTATTTTTCAAGCACAAAATGAAATCAAATATAGCACTCATGCAAATTCATATTAAAAAAATACTAGCGGGAAATAAACTCACCTCCAATGAGTACAGCTTCCTTAAAATACTACTTTTCCTGATATCAACCTGAGCCTATAATATAAATATATAAGACTAAAATTAATTCAGGACAAGTACATGTTTTCGCCAAAAGTCGAATTTGTTGTCGAATTCATTATATCTTCGGTCGATTACAATAAATTCAAAGAAAACAGCCTTTTTATAAGACTCTTTTACACAACAAAAAGAAAATTACAACTCTTGAGAAAATAAACGCAGGATCGTTGTTTGGATCACTGCTTTCGTGGGATCTTTGCCTGTGCCGGGAGCGCTTTGACTCGTGGACCACCAAATCACAGATTCTGATTGAACCGTGAGGGGTTTATGATTCTGACTTCGTTTATCGAAGTGAGAAATTGAAACGATATCTTATCGATGTAAGATAGTCGTTCTTCTTGAAATCAAGTCAAAGCTCAATTTCAAGGATTGGCCGTAAGATCAGCACCTCTGCTCTCTCTCTCTGCTCTGGATTGCTCTGAAGTGCTCACAATGATCAGTCTTGGATCTCTGCTGGAAACCCCCTCTGAAAATGGCCTTCGGGGGGTATTTATAACCCTCTGGATGAACAGTGCTCGCGAGACAGCATTTGCTGTCTCGGCGGGCGAGACAGTGTTTGCTGTCTCGCCCACGGAAACAGTAACCGCAGGCAGTTTTCGTTTTAACTGCCTTCCCACGTTTCAAACTCCGTTATTTTGGCAGTTATCCACGTGATTCTCGCCCACGACGTTTCCCACGTTCTTGAACAGTTAGTGGTACGTGTAGGGGCAGTTGCAAAGGTAGTTTTGACCATCTGAAAACTGTCTCACGTGCAAGACAGTAAATTCTGTCTCGCACGGCGAGACAGTAAATACTGTCTCGCCCAGAAACTTCCTGTTGAGGGTAGGGGAACAGTTTAGACTCGTGTACCTATTGGAGTATTCAGGTTATTCTTAAGAATATTCTGAGTAATATTCTCCAGAAACTTCCTGTTGAGATTAGGGAAATAGTTTAGACTCGTATACCTATTGGAGTATTCTGGTCTCTTGTTTGTTGGTAGAGATGAACCCGATGATGGAGAGGAAGAATTTTATATTCTATCTCCTGGTCTCTTGTTTGTTGGTAGAGATGAACCCGGAATCGGAGAGGAAGAATTTTATATTCTATCTCCTGGTCTCTTGTTTGTTGGTAGAGATGAACCCGATAATGGAGAGGAAGAATTTTATATTCTGTCTCCTGGTCTCTTGTTTGTTGGTAGAGATGAACCCGATAATGGAGAGGAAGAATTTTATATTCTGTCTCCTGGTCTCTTGTTTGTTGGTAGAGATGAACCCGATGATGGAGAGGAAGAATTTTATATTCTATCTCCTGGTCTCTTGTTTGTTGGTAGAGATGAACCCGATGATGGAGAGGAAGAATTTTATATTCTATCTCCTGGTCTCTTGTTTGTTGGTAGAGATGAACCCGATGATGGAGAGGAAGAATTTTATATTCTATCTCCTGGTCTCTTGTTTGTTGGTAGAGATGAACCCGATGATGGAGAGGAAGAATTTTATATTCTATCTCCTGGTCTCTTGTTTGTTGGTAGAGATGAACCCGATGATGGAGAGGAAGAATTTTATATTCTATCTCCTGGTCTCTTGTTTGTTGGTAGAGATGAACCCGATGATGGAGAGGAAGAATTTTATATTCTATCTCCTGGTCTCTTGTTTGTTGGTAGAGATAAACCCGATGATGGAGAGGAAGAATTTTATATTCTATCTCCTGGTCTCTTGTTTGTTGGTAGAGATGAACCCGATGATGGAGAGGAAGAATTTTATATTCTATCTCCTGGTCTCTTGTTTGTTGGTAGAGATAAACCCGATGATGGAGAGGAAGAATTTTATATTCTATCTCCTGGAGTAAAGAAACTCAAATCTCCTGGTGCAAAGGAAAAATCTGGACTGGTTTGAATAATCCTAACTGTCATAAGGTTTGACTATTCAACTTTGAGAATGGACCTCTCGTTCGTGGAATGAATCGAGAAGAGATTTTGGTTGTGGTCCTAACTGTTAACTGTTTAAAGGTTTGATCGTTCAATTTGTGGACCTCTCGTTCATGGAACGAATCGAGAGGGGATTTTGGCTTTGGTCCTAACTGTTTAAAGGTTTGACCAAGATGGGAATTTGAGACGATCCTAACTGTTTAAAGGTTTGATCGTTCAATTTGTGGACCTCTCGTTCATGGAACGAATCGAGAGGAGATTTTGGCTTTGATCCTAACTGTTTAAAGGTTTGACCAAAATGGGAATTTTGTGAGGGAAGATTGATCTAAAGAGGTGATCGAATCTCATCTCATCTAAAGAGTATTCGGAAGTCATAGTAGGAGTTTAGTGTTTATCACTTTGTTCATAATGATCGGGGTTATCCCTAAGAATATTACATTTAACATTCTTCCGGGAACTTCCCGTTACATGAATTATCCACCCCCAGCTTTCTTTGCAAAACTGGGTGTAACGAGGAGTACGTTATCCTCGATCGCATACTCGGGTTATCCTTAAGAATATAAGATTCTCCAGGAACTTCCCGTTATATAAATCATCTACCCCCAGCTTCCTTTGCGAAACTGG